TAATAATAATAATAAACTATACAAATCCAAAGTTAAGTTCATGCCTCATGTAAGATTTTGTTTTCTTTTTTAGTCCCTGGTCATCTCTCTGTATTGATTTGTCAGTCATTCCAAAATAGATAATGAGCAAATGAGTCCTTATTTGCTAATTATTGCACATTTTTGCATGAGCCAGATGGCTAATTTTTACCCTCATGACGGTGGATTTTTTTAGGCAATCCAACGTTATGAGCCTTCCCTGCCTTTTTTTACGTGTCACACTCAATCTCCTGAAGGACTTCATCAGATCTTCTGAAACTCCCCAGAAAGAGTCTCCCTGCAATGGAGAGTTGCAGTTCATTTTAGTCACAGGAGATGGCCACACGGAACAGCTATAACAGCTTATCTGTTGTAAACCACCCAGAGTGACCCTGGATGCCAGAGGGGCAGTATATAAACCCAATAAATAATAATAATACAGTGGCCACCTTGGGTCCTTTTTAAGAAACAAACAAGGGGCTCCCTGAAGCATCCTGGCCTCTGGTTCATACATCACATAAACTGCTTTCTCTTTCCTTTGTGCCTTTCCACCCCATCCATCTGCCTGCAAACTCTAAAATGCAACCGTATCCATAACTACGATTGTTATTTAAAAAACAGCATTAAGGAAGCAAGGTTTATGGTGGGTGAGCTCGTTTCCTTAATCTGAGTTCAAGGAAAGAGGTCCTCTCGGAATATAAGGGATTTTAGCCTGTTTGAGCCTGAGACAGGCAACAGCAGGTTCAAAACTGATTGTGTTCAGAAAGAATATTTCAGAATTCCATCCTTCGTTCTTCCTGGGGAACCAATTTCCTCGTAGAGGAGAGGGGCTTTTTATGCCCAGACAGAGACACTTCCTTAGCCAAGATGAATAGCAATGACCGGGGTCCTGCATCCCTCACCCGTCTTCCTCTTAACACTTTTGCAATATCACTTGTGCACTGGCGTGAAATCAGATGAACGAATCAACACCCTTTACAAGGAAAATCACTACCACCTTTCTGTTCATTTCAGCACTTAAACCGAATGGTTTAAAAAGTGGATGAGAGGCAAAATTAGACCACCTCCCCCCCGTGGAAGGCATTATATCTTTTATCAAACATGAAAGGAAGGCCTCCAGATTGTGAGTTATCTACATTTGGGTTTCCCCCCCTCCTTTGACAAAGAAAGAGGACCCCATGAATAACTGCATGATCTTACACATATATTTTTAGAACTGAATTCCTGGTTAACTCCCAGGGTATAACAAGCCTAGCCAAAACTAAGCCTATCCTGTACACATCTCTATGGGTTTTTTAGCCAGCATCAGCCAAGTAGACCTGCTGCACGTTAAGTAATCTGACAGGCTCTGCCCCTACTTCCAGCTCCTTCCACTGTTGAAACTTAATAATTAAAAAAAAATTGTTTTAGCATCTCTTTGTACAAGAGCGTCTGGCTTACCTTGTCGAAAGGAGACAGAAACCAGTCTTTCTTCAAACTCCTGGACTCTCCGGAAGTTGTTGACCATTTCAAGAGGGGCCGGATCATTGGACTGGGTAGAGTACAGGGCTGTTTCCAGATCCAACAGCTACACAAGCAAGACACATGCCTCTTGTAACTCCAGCAAGACAACCATGGATTGTTTCCCTTGGGGGGCCATGTTTTGGGGTTGTAATTAGGCAGTTAAAGTTTGTTCTACCTTGATTGTGCTTAATAACGCAATGCTAGTGGCCGCACTCTTGGGATGATTCAAGGGATGCTAGCAGGAGTCACATGCATTAACAGAAGAAGGCCCCACGGTTCTTTCTGCTGTTATCCGATTAGAAATATGAACCACAGCGAACTGTCAAGTCAATAGTAAGGGGGCTGCATGCCTTGTCTTACAGCTCACGGCCATTTGTTTGGCAGAGGGGAACCATCTTTTTGAGGACTTTTTCAGAAAGCATCCTGTGATTGAAGGAACTGACCAGTTCCAGTCTGATTAAAAGACTTTTAAAAAATCCTGGCAATTTGTCCACCTTCTGCCTGTGAGCAGTATTTGGGCCACGGACTCAGCAGGCAGAGCGAGAGGTGCATCGTAACTCTGTGTAAACTATAAAAATCACCTCGTTCCACATTTGTCCCTATAAATGAGCATCGTTGCATGCAGACCAGTGTCTCTTTTTTTCAGTGGGGTAGATTATTATAATTATTTAATCATAACTGGCTGCCGTGGTCCATTGTCGTTGTCACGGCTGATGCAGCCAAAACAAGGCATGCCTCTGTGTGTATCCATGTGTGAAGGCTTACCTGTTTCTCTGAAATCTGTACTGGTTTTCGGAAAACCGTCCAAAGCACACTCGGGTAGCAAGGAGGGGTGGTCAGGGATCCTTCGTAGCGGTAATACTCGTCCAGTTGGTCTGGGAGCAAGCCCTGGACGTTGAAACCAGGAATGAGAGTTTTCTCATCTGAAAGAGATGGCGCATGATCTTTGAACCCCTTCTGCCTTGACTTTGGGTTCCCATTGCCTGTTTACTCGCTGCTCTTTGCCACTTTTCCGGGTAGGGTGGCTGGTCAGTGCTGTGGCTATCCTGGTTTATTTATTTATTCATTTATTTGGCTAACCCTATCTGCCAAATGACACACCCACACACACTCTCTGGTTGTAACTGTTCCATTTTGCTGAGGAACAAACGTGTTCTGGTCTAAAAGTCACAAGAGTTACAGCCAACCAGTGGGTCTCCCGGCTGGGCCCATGGGCGATCCAGTGTTGTCAGTCCGACTGCGGCTTGCTTGCAGGTGCTTTGGGAATGGCCACGTCTCTTTACGGGGAGTCAGACAGCCCGGGAACGAGTGGTGTTGGCGGATACTATCAAAGGGGAATAGTACGATATTGCTCTCTAAATCAACAGATGGGGGATTGGCGCTTGTGTGTAAACAGTTTGAGGTGCTCTGCCTAGTTCCTGCCTCCTGTGAACCAGATCCGAAAAGCAAACCCAGTGCCTCAATTCAGCCCCGCCTCCATAAGACTTTAGGTTTCACTGTACGCAGAGCCCTAATGGACGAAAAAGAGTTTCTAATGAGACCGTTTTGCATGGAGAAATTCTTTTCTCACCCTTGTATTTGACCTCCTGGAAATGGCTGAAGATCTTTTCATAAGATGGGTTGAATGAGCCGATCTGCAACGAAACAGAGAGGATGCCTTTTCTAGACACAGGTGATGACTCCTGTGTAAAGTGTTCTCTCTCTCTCTCTCTCTCTCTCTCTCTCTCTCTCTGGCTTTTATCCCACCCATCTAGTGGCATGCTACTACTCTAGGTGGTTTATATATATACAAGTCTGCTATATGTCTGGGACATTGTGCAGAGAAAACGTTTGGGTTGGCAGGTCCCATGGAATATCTGGGCCACAGCGGTTGCCCTTCTCAACTCAGGAGAACATCGGGTGGGCTTTCGAATTAAGTTGCCAGGAGGTTCACGTGGATATCCCGCCTTAGTGTCCAAACAGTACAGCCTGCTCTTGCGTTGTGGTCTGCTTCTTCATTTGTTGTTGGAATAAGCCATCAATTTAGTGGGCTGAAGTCATGTTTTCTCACGGCACAAAAGACCTATAATTTTGTCCCATCTACAGCTCAGCGCCCCTGAGCTGTTCTCAGCCAGAATAATAACCCTTTGTGGTGAGTGATTTCTTTCACCACAGTGTAAAATACTTAATCGTCGTGATTACAGTTTCGTTTAATCACAATCACCAAAAAAAGCAAACCAAATCCTTTTAGGGAAGGACATCCTCTGTAGGAAGAAGAACGAGCAAACTCAAAGGCCATTTTTCTCATTCTCAATTCAGGTAGAAATTATTCTAGGGGGGGAAATACCTCTTACCTCGATAAGGACAGCCAAGACTGCCAGTCCATCTGCTTTGTCTGACGCCGTTTGGAAATCTGGGTATTTGTCAGAGTTATAATGGACTATGTGGAGCTACAGGAGGGGAATAAATGCAGACAAGGTCAGTTGAAAGCACAAGGAGCACGCAGCCCTTTGTGTGTGTGTGTGTGTGTGTGTGTGTGTGCGCGCGCGCGCGCATGTGTGGAGCTGCACAAACCACTGGCATTTCAGGAGGTCTTGTGCATGAGAGCTTCCGAGGAGTTTGCTCCCCGTGTGAAGAACCAGGAAGGACTCATGATGGAGGTTGCATCCATTCCATGTTCCACGTCAGGCAGGCACCAAATTGTCACTCATAAATACTTTGTCATTGTCCTGGAATTATAATTGTAGGGCATCCCAGGCTTTCTCTGGAGACCTATAATTAGTCTGAGAGATGAAATGGCTTCATAATTAAGAAAAGGAGCAGGATGACCTTTTTTTTTTACTGGAAGGTCTGATGGGCCTGGGCTTCAGCAGGAAAAGAGGGAAGCCAAATCCGAGATGGATTGACACCCTAAAAGAAGCCACGGGGCTTCAGTTTGCAAGGGCTGTTGAGGGCAAGACCTGTTGGAGATCGCTCATTCGGAGGTGACTCGATAGCACATCACCATCACAACCACACACTTCTCTCATTCCAGGCAGTTATGCAGGAAAACAGACAGCTAGGGTTACGCAATGAGAGAACCTGCATTTTTTTTAAAAGAAGAATCTTATTGAATCAAAGAAAGAGTCCATATACACTTTCAGCACTTGCTCAAAAAGATGGTTGCTATTCCAAAAAAAAAAAAAAAAAAAAGACCCCACACACATACTGTACAGGGCGTGGTTTTGCCCTCAAAAATGAGCCTTGAAAGTGGCCTGGAACCATTTGAAAAGCCAAAGGGGATTGTCTTAAACTGGAGAGAAGTGAAGCTGATCTTAACCTCAGCAGCAAAATGCCTCCCGCCAACCGTGTGCTCGGATCCTTCCTGCTTCTTCTGGTTTCCCCAGTGCAAGTGGAGCTGAGCCGCAGAGTACTTGGAAAGGAGGCCCCCGACGCTCATGGTTGGCGAAAGACTCATTTGTACTGGAGGGTAAAAAGATAGAAAAGTCAGTGTGTAAGGATTGGAACACAAGGGAGCAAAGCGCCCTAACCTGAGAGCCTTAAAACAGATTTTTTAAGAAGTCCACTGACATGTCAAAGGTCAGGGTTAAGAGGCAATTCCCCCTTATTATTAAGAGCTATCTCCCCTGTTATTTGGATTTGTTTATTTGTTTTGGCTGCTGTTCTGCCCACATTGTGTCTTAATGCAGAAATACTACACAATGTTGCAAAGGAACTTGTCTCTTTGGAGGCTGTGCTTTGTAAGCTTTCAGGTCACACAGCCCTCTTCACCAGCCAGGAGGAATCGTAACCTTTGGTGCTATGACATAAAGCGAGTCTTCCCATGGAGATCAAGCTAGCATGAGGACATTTGCAGAATGGAGGACGCCATGAATGACGGAGAAGGGCCTGCCCAATTAAATGTGCAATAAACTCCGTCAAAACCCGGGGGTGGGGTGGGTAGCCTCACAGTTAAGCATTTGCACCCATCCTGCTGGCATCCCCTAATAAGAATACTTTAAAAGCTTTGGATGCTTCAATCTGGTGAAAAACATTTTTATCCAATTTGTTTCACATGGGGGTAACTTAGTGATAACATTACTGCAGCCTCTATTAAATGAGGGAAGTGTGGCTATCCTTGTTAGTAGTAGAGAGGCAAAGAGTTCTGGATGGAGCAGATGATGACACGGTGATAGGATGCCAGCATTTTCTACATCTGTTGCTCTCCTGTCCACATTCTAGCTTCCAACCATATGCTCAAGAATATGGAACAGAATATAAAAGTACAGCTTGTCTTGTAAGCAAGCACCCGTACTTATCAGTTGCATCTTTTCCACTAAGCTTTCACGCTCAGTTTGAGTTGCTGACCTTTGAGGAACAGGATTTACCCCACTGCTTTATATGCTTTACTGCTCCGCAGTTTACAAGTGGTTTTTAATGTACTATTGTTTTTTTTGTTTTTTTGGTAAGCCAGTCCGGTCCCCCACACAACGGGGCAAAATACATCAGAAAGGAGACACATATTTTTAATGTTTTTAATTTTTTTATTATTATTATTATTATTTTTTGGGTAAGCCAGTCCAGTCCCCCACACAACAGGGCAAAATACATCAGAAAGGAGACACATAATTAAATAGGTAGCAGATTGTGCTTTGTTTTGTGATTGGTCTTTCGGCTGTAAACATGGGCATATCTTGATTACTGAGGCTCCTTTCATTGAGTATATTCCTTTGTGCTGGAGATGACCTATTAATCAGAAGGAATACACATTTCCCTTGATGTCCATCTTGACCCTTAGCTTCTGTTTCTGCTCTATAGTGAGAAGATTATAGTTCTGGCCTGCATTGCTAGGTGGATGGATGATTGACATAAGTCAAAGAACTAGAGCACTCGTAAGTCCTAGGTAATGATGGTATTCCTTATTAACTAGAGCACTTGGAAGTCCTAGGTAATGATGGTATTCCTTATTCTGAAACCATAGGAACAGTTCCTTTAGCCTCTTGGCACTCTGTGTGCGCTTCCCTTACCTGAATGTCCATTATTGGTCAAAACGAACTCTTCTGTGAAGGGCACGTCGTAGCCCTCCGGCTTTATTGGCAAAAGAGTCGAATCGTACTGGAGAATATCCTTGTGGAAGTCGATGGGTGATTGGAAGACCCCTCCACAAAAGGGATACTTCTTGGGCCACATTCTCTCCCCATCTGGACCTAGGAGTGATGACAAATCAAGATTTGCAAAATGATCTTAACCCCATGCATATCCCTGCAGTGTGGCAGGAAAAGTGCTTCTACCCCTCCATGTGTGTCCTCAATTTTATTCTCATATAAGGACAGCTGGCTAAGAGAAGTTTGGGTAAAGCTTGGATGCTTCCTTTTCAAATTTAATTTTTCTCTTTTACTTGCTAGAGTGAAAAGAAACCTGCCATTATTTGCAATGTCACAAGCTGCTGCTTTCTCCATTGCTTGTTGTTTTTTAAATAGCCTTACAATCAATACAGGAATGCAATAACAACAACAAAAAAGTCAACATTTCCTAGCAGAAGACTTCCCAAAATGTGCAAAAAGTGTCTTTTAAAAATGTGACTTCTTATCCAAATAGAGTACTTTAAATCCCACTCTGTGGAAATGCAGCTTCCTTATGCCATTGTTGAAAAATGTTTACACATTGCAAGGTAGCTCTGTTCATCGTTATTCCAGGCTGTTATTCCAGGCTGCGACGGCCTCTTGACTAACTTCAAAGACACAAACTGAGTATCAGAGAGAAACCAGAAGTCATGTAACACCCATAAGATTAATTAGTTTTAACTTTTTCATAAGCTTCATGTGTCCAGACCCTCTTCTTCAGATAACTCAAGCGGCTGCATCTTTGGGGGGTGTCCAAAACTGGCAAAAGCCTATCTACTTGCTGGATTGCCTTCTGAAGATCAGAGAGAGCATCAGACAGGTAGTCCTTGTGTATGTGTTCCCTCAGAAAGCAAACTCTTAACGCTCCCAAACCTGTGACAGAATTCGGACCACTATCTCTTCCGCTCAAGACCCCCTTGGTCTGGCAACAAAGATGAGAGATTGGAAGCTCCCTTTCCCCTACCTTTACTGGGGGGGAGGGCAGCATTGAGACCAATACAATAAATGCTTCTTACGGCTGCTTAATATTTATTACCTTTGTATGCATATGATTCTTTTTTTCTTGAGAAACTCCCATTTGTCTTAAAGGTGTGCAAAGCTCCCCTTCAGGTTTCCACCACAAATTATGGATATCCCCTTACAAGAACCGTGACTTAACAGTTCACGCACATACAGTAGCGTGGGGGTAATCATCCTGCACTCAGATGAGGTTTGAAGTGAGCACAGCAAACCCTCCCTGGTTTTTCCCCTCCAGGGGAAAAAAAATCCAAAGCCACATGGCCTCTAAAGGGAGCCTGCACAATATTGTTGTTTCAGCTCGGAAGCTATGTGCGAGGAACCGGGAGGTATATGCTATAAATAAATGCAAATCAAGATGTGCAGCTTTCTACTTAACGGGTAAGGAATGAATTTTGTGTCTAGGTCTTTAAATGTGTGTACGTGCATGCAAACATGCAAGCTGGGTGTTGGAGAGCAACAGACGGGTTGTCGTTGTGGGTATCTGTCCACCCTGAAAGCAAACAGCACAGTCTTGGAAGATCCCTTCCCTGCTACAAAATTCAGACCACTGTCTTGTTCACAGCTCCGTGTTGCTTCTAAAGAAGGGGTTTGCTGTCGCTGTTCGCCAACAGCTGTTAAAGGTTTGTCATGAAATGTCTTCACCTACTAGTTATATCGAAGCTTCATACTGGCCTCTCTCTTCTCGACTGAAACACAGTGAGATTTTTGTGGTGGTGGCCAACACTTCAGATTCTCAAGCAATGAATTACAGTTGCGAATCTGTGTTTTGACAGATGGTTTGTGGAACTTGCCTTCAACGGAACATCAGCGTCACAGAAATAAATACAAAGGCAGTTTATTGGGCATCTTTCCACCCAAAAGATCTGAACTGCTGGATAACGAAGTGGCTTAAGAGGCTGGGAGTTCGATTCCCCCCACGGGGCCTCTTGACAGGAGGGATTCATAGCTCTGCAGTTCTAAGAGGATGATTATTGAACTGCTGGATAGCTGAGTGGTTTAGGCAACGAACTGCAAAGCCAGAAATTGGGAGTTCAATCCCCACTGCTCATCTGTGACAGAGATTGTACTCAATGATCACTTCCAGCTCTCTTCAGTTCTCTTATGTTCACTCTATGAAAGGAGATTTGGATTAAACATTGGGAAATACTTTTCCGTGATAGTTGCTGTTTGACAGTAGAACAGACCAGCGCAGAAGGTGGTGGAGGACTTTGCTTCTTCAGAGGTTTTTCACCTGAAGCTGAATGACTGTCTGACTGGAATGTTTTAATGGTGGAATTCTTGCATCCATGAGAGGAAAGCTGGACTAGAATGATTCTGTTCCCATCCATAGGATTCTGCAACTCCTTTTGCGGGCCACTTTGTCCAGTTGATGGGTTGTGGTTCCCTCCTCTCCCACCTCAGCATTCTCCCGTGGCTGCTGATTTCACAGATGGAAAAGGCACCTTCCTGGCTAACTGATTGAGCTGTGCCCCATCGGCCAAACAGGACCTCTTTTTTACCACCTAATGACTTGAATTAATGGGAGATTTGTGCACGCCAGGAGAGCAAATCACACCCCTCTAGTAACTGAATTATACCTTGTTTGCATTCAACTTGACACTAAAAGCATAGAATCACATGTTAATCTTAATAAAATTAAAGCAGCTGCTTACCAACGTAAGACCATGTAGACCCTGGAAAGAAAAAAAAGGAGATAGGAATCTCAAATCACAGTGCTATCCCGTTATTTTGTTTAAAACACATACAAAACCAAAATGCCAAAAAACCTAAAGATGCTACCCAAATATAGATCGATCATACAGAACAGGAATCAGATCCATCTGTGTCGTCCTCTGCCAGCCTTCCTGGACCTGGTGCCCTCATGAGGTGCTTGACCACAACACCCATTGTTCCTGGACTGGTTGGCCATGCCATTGGAGGATTACGGGAGTTGTGGTCAAACATGTCCGGGAAAGCTCAAACATTAACATTGTCCCAAATGGGTCGATCTGGCTTCTTGCAGTTTTGGATTTTGGGAAAGAGGAAGAGACATGTATGATGTGCGGACACACAAATACAGAATAGAATTAAGAGTCCAGTTTATTTGAATGGGGTATATTTTCCTCCCTCTTTCAGGTATTACAAAAAGCTGGACCTGCCAGAGGAACCGAACCAGAATTTTTATAACATTAACACTTTAAAAAGGGATGAATTTATTATAGCAGCAGGAAGATGAAAGGCTGAAGGCTTATCCTCAACTGACTGAAAGGTGCAATCATTTTATGAGGGGGGGGGGTTTAAAAAGAAAACACAACAACACTTGGAAATTTTTCTTTTTTTGGACTACAAATTTTGGGAATCCTTCAGCCACCATCTGTTCCCTGTCATGGGGGATTCTGAGACCCTTAATAATAAAATAAATTTTTCCAAATTCTGGTGAAAAGTGAGATGAAATGGTAGCGAATTCCAGAGAAAGAAAAGCAACAAAGCATCATCTGTGAGCACTAGAAATGAGCGTAGCTCCCCAAATATCATGTATGCCTTACAGAGTCTGTCTGGCAATGGGACAAAAGAAAGCTGAGAGTCCCCTTACCGTTCACGGGTGCTTGTGTGGAAAGGTGAGCCTCGAGGAAGATGAGGAGGAGGAGGAGAGCCACTGCAGCTGTTCTGGACCTTGTGACTGACATCCTCGGGAAAAGGACTTTGACGTCTCCAAAATGCATCCAGCAGGGCTGGCCGACTGGCCCAGGGTCCTGGGGCTGAGCAGGGGCTGCGGTCCTTGGAGCCGGCTGGCTAGGAAGGGACACTTGTGGCTGCCGGGAGCAAAGGCTGCTTCTGCTGATGTACACCAGCCTTTGCTGCTTCTCGGAGGCTCAGCCCCCAAACATATGATGTCAGCAGCAGGTTTGCCTCCCATCATCCTAAAGAGGGACAGAGCAACCCTTTGATCTGGTCTGCACCAGCGGGGTGGGGTGGGGGGGAGAGAAACTTACTCTGCCTTAGTAGGAAAGGCAGATAGCTTCTCAAAATGTGCTAAACACTTCCTGGGGAGAATCCCAAATGTTAGTTCATTGAAATATAGAGGTGTTTGTAATTTTTTTTAAAAAAAAATCCATCTTTACTACTACTCTCATTCTTTCCTTCCCACTCATCTGGGTCCGGATTTATCATCTAGCAGTTTAGCTTCCCCAGCCCTGCCTAACAAATGCTGGGGTTGAACCGAACCTGGGAAAAGTCAATGTTCAGAAAGACGTACAGCACCAGGAATCTCTCTCCCCCACTCTTTGTTTAGAGAAGCCAGGTTGTTGACCGGAGAGAAAACCTGGGAGACGGACTGCCCAAACATGCAGGCTTTCGTTTAAGGTGAACGCAACGGAGATGCTCTGAGGTCGCTGCCAAGTTAACATGCTCTCGTTTCAGTGTTGAGGCCAAAATCTCCCTGATTCAACAGAATCCAGTCTTACGGCCAAGTGTCGAAAGGCACAGCGTTGTCCCTGTGTTCAGCACAATATCGTGACGAGCGGCCCTGCCTAAGGGAGTCACAAGGATAGATTTCCTCATCCTTCGCTTCCAGTCTCGAGGCCCCTCTGGCGCTGGGCCGCTCAGGTCTTTCCCCATCGCTCTCCTTGTGGCTGGCCATAATTTGCGTTGATCATAGGGTGCGAATCTGTTGATTATTAAGCTTTGGCGTCAGACTCCCGTCTTGCCCTTTCACTTTCCAGATGGCCTTTGAGTACTTTCCTTCCAGACAAGTATTCATAGTAAAAACGTGGAACTATATATAAGCAAGGAACTATATATAAGCAAAGCGTGATGTTTATACACTGCCCCATAGCATTTGAAGCACTCTCTGGGAAGCTTACAGTTTAATTACACAGGCTGCACGCTGTCCACCGCAGCGAGTTGGATGCTCAGTTTACTGATCTCAGAAGGCTGGAAGGCTGAGTGAACCTCAAGCCGGCTACCTGCGATTGAACCTAGGCTGTGAGCAGAGTTTTGGCTGCAGTACTGCAGTTTACCCATGGTGCCACATAAATATATAATTTAAAACTTTACAACGAGCCTTTTTATGATGATGCTCCAACTGTTTTACAACATCAGTTCTTTCTTTCTCCCAAAACTCTGTCCCAGATGAAGGCCAGGTCTGCAATGCAGGAAGAGCATGGCCTTTTTGACTTGAGCCCAAAATGGTATTATATAATAATTATATTATTCCTGAACTCTAGGATGAAGGCCGATGGGGCACAAATACAACCACTCCTCCCCTCCTCTTCTCAGAGACCGCTTAAAAGCTTCCCCCGTGACACTTTTGGCAGTTTGTTGATACAATTTTCTTTCTGCTCTCCTGTCTTCTGTCTATGGTTCATTTTAATACCTATAATTTTGTGTTGATGGTCCTTAATTATTTTGTGCTACATTGTGATTAGGTTGATTGATTGTAATTTGGAAGAGCAGGGGAATCGCTGTTCTGGAAACGTATTTTGAAAAGCTGCATAACATCATACAGTGTTACAAGTTATTATTTAAACAGAGCTTTAAATAATCAAGTGGTATAATTAGATTGCTACCTGTATTGATTCTCGGTGTGGATGGAATGAAAGAGCTGGGTCTGTTCAGAGACCCAGCGTGTTGTAGTCACAATGCCATTGGCTATGGTAGGAGTTCCTAACCTTGGGTAGCCCAGATGTTATTGGACTGCAACTCCCAGTAACCCTGGTCAGCACAGCTGGTGAGGCAGAGGCTTCGGGGAGTTGCAGTCCAAGAACACGGCAGAGGCTTCTGGGACTTGCAGTCCAATAACACCTGGATACATCACCAGTCTAACTGGTAGCCATTGATGGCCTGCCCCTAACCCTCTTTGGCTACTAGCTTTGGGGCAGTTATTTCCTTTCTTTCGACCTTAGGGGGGCTCCTCCAGATAAAATGGAAGCGAGGGAAATGTTTGGCAGTCTGAGCTCTTTGGAGGACGGTGGGGTGAGAATATCATGTTAAAAAACAGGCGACTTTCAAGGAAAACACGCTGTTGTCCATCAACAGGGAGTGAACTGGATGTTTCTACTCCAGAGTTTTTAGTGAACACAACTTTATCTCTGCTGAATGTGTGTCAAGGTTATTCCTTTGTATTGTTTTTCCTTTTTCCTTTTTTAAATAGCAAGCCAGCCGTGTGTGGGTTATGTAAAACACCCGGTGTAAAGGCTGCAGCTAATAAATTTCTGTCAAAATGCTCTTTGATTCTGGGAGGGCCCCAGAGGAAATATGCGATGCCAAGCTTCAGTCCAAGGCTCTGGGAGTCCTCCGTATTCTGCTTTTTCTGTACGCTGTCCCAACGATGCCATTGCACCTGGGGTGGGCGGCTCCTAGAGACCAAAGTGGCTGAGAGCCAGCGTGAAATCTGGCTGTGCCGTTCAGAGGCTTTCCTTCCGAAACAGCTGCCCGTTCACCTTTTTCTTCTTCGCATAGGACCAACTAAGCTGCCGAAAGAATGGGCAGGATGTAGCTCACGACCACTCCGTGTGTGTGATCCAGCAAGGTTTGAAATTCTGAAAAAGTAAACAAACTAATTTTAAACTCTGTGGTCTGAGCCCCCAAGAGGTTCCCTGAACCCCTGACTAGAATATGGCGTTGCTGCCCTGATGGGGACCAGCTTTGCTTCAGAAGGCCCCCACATTTCATCCCGGGCATATTGATTTAGAAGACAATCCAAATCCTCCATACAGAGTACGTTACCATAGTCTTTCGAGATTGAAGGATACCTAATGAATGAATGAAATTAAGAAGACCCTTCTCTGCTGCTCTGACATCTGGAGAGTGGCTGTCGGTCAGATTATGCACTATTGTTCTAAAGGGATCAGTCATCTGATTTAGGATAATAAAAGCCCAATATCACCAAATGAGCTTCAAGCTGACCGCCTCCAGGCCGTCTCAGTTTTTGCTGCTGTTCTGATATGTGTTGTGGTGAGGTCCTCCGTGTTTTCTATTTTTCAGACAAACAAACTTCATTTGGTAGTCAAATCACGACTGCAGAGAAAACTCGTGCGTCTCAGGTTGGAAATCAACTTGTTTACCAGAATCCACCCTGCGGTCTTATGTGTGCGGAATGCAGGGCAAATTTTGATAATTGGTGTAGGATCTTGACTTTCCTTACTGCCCTTCCCATTTCTGCCACTGGAAGAGTCTAGTCCTCATGGTCTATTGTTTTGGAAATACATAGCTGATCCCTCTCTAACCCAATAAGGGTTGATGCTATCATGCATGCAGGATCAGGTTTTCAGGTGCAGCTCTGCCTGGCCCCGTAGCCAGGGTTGGGGCAGGATGCGAGCAAAATCCGAACACCTACAGAGTTACTTCCCTGCTTCATGGGGCTCATGTCTACCCTTGTGTTCAGCCTAATGCAGTGCAACGGTACCAAATGCCTATCAGAGAAATCTTAAATTTAATTAATCCCACAGATGTTAGTCATGAGTGGCAAATAAGTGAAACTGCTATAATTCTGCAACAACAACAAAAAATATTTCTTTGTTTCTAGATGAGAGATGCCTGTGTTTTAGAAGGCATCATCCCCAATCATTTCCAAAGAAGCGTCCCCTCCAACGCATGCAGGAAACCAACGGGATGCCCCTTTGAAGAGCTTTCTTACCATTTTGTAAGTATTCAAATTCAGAACAGTATTTACTTTAATATACGAATCGGGTGTGTTTTAAGTAAACTAGTGTCTTATCGATCGATTAAACTTTAGAGCACCACGGACTGCAGTATGGGCAGAACTTCTAATGCAAGTTATTTATGCATTTATAAATGTCCTTTATCATGTTTTGCATTTCTTTAAGATTGATACTCTTCTTTAACTTTTGCTTAAGTTTGACATGGGACGTTCAAGTCCACTCTGGAATTGTACTCATTTCCAAATGTGATTGCAGTCAGCAAGCAGGGTCTCTTTTTTGGAAACTTCCAAATCGCCTCTCCCACAGAGAGGCTGCAACAGCACATGATCTATATCCTCAAAGCCTCTGGCCACCAGGTGCCTCTGGATTCCCCCTCCTCCCATCAGTCAGCTGCCTGTAGCATCTCCCAGGATGTTACCTGGAACCAGTTTTTCTTCCACCTTCGTGGGTTTGTGGCAACCTTCGTTGAGACTCATCCTGGATATCAGTGCTGGGTGTTGCAATGGGTCGCCAGCTCCCACGTTCCTGAAAACATTGGTTCCACTTCGCTATGGTGGCATGTCACGCTGCCCGCTCTCCCTTCTGGTTGAACAACATTCCTCTAGCACACAAAGACTTTTTGTGCTCTGAACACCATCCGTTTGCCGAAGGGGCTTCCTAGCAAACCTGGCTCAGGTGCTATCCTGTGGCTCCTTTTTATTCGACAGGTCTTGCCTAATTAAGACACCTTCCCGGTCAATTGTGCCTCACACAACGCACCCCGCCTCCCTCTTCCTCCCAGTCTCTAATCCTTCAGGTGTGGCCGGAGGAGGGACACTTCCAACCACGGGGATGGGGAGGTTCAAAGCAACTGAGGTCAATTAAACACCCCAACAATAACTCCTTTAGGGAATCTCAGGAACCGGGGGTGGGGGTGGGGGTAAGCAGAGCAGCAGCTTGAAGCCAGAGAAGGAAGTGTTCCATTTTCGTAGGTATAAAACTCCTGGAATCTTCCAGGCTGTCTAGCCACCAGCCAGCGAAGGCTTTTGCTGTGGAGCAAAGGTCACTGCGGCACAGTCGAGGCAGGGCGCCACCACAGAGAAGGCCACGCGTAATGCTTGGCTGTGGAGGCCTCTAAAGGAGCCCCACCCCACCCCAGCGACCACTACAGTCTCGAGGCACATCTCGGCTGATGCCTAGGCGGGCCTTCTAGTGCTTAATGTAGACACACAGGGAGAGGCCTCCCATGGGGTCAGATCCTTGAACCCTCTAGCCCAGGGTGGCCAACTCAGACGGGCAGCCACGGCTGCTCTCCAGGCTTCTAGACTGGGTCCTTTCCTGGCCTTACCTGGAGATGGCAGAGGGATTCCCGGGTGGTCTGAGATCCAAGTCCCGAAAAGGTCGGACCCTGCTTTATTCCCCAAATCAGACCAGGTGGGGTGTTTCCAGGGGCTTTGGCTGGGTGACAGAAGCTTTTCAAGGCTAGCACTTTGCACGGTCACACGTTACAGTGATGGCAGCCAGATGTCCATCTGGCACCCTCTGCGGGTCCTGCCTCCTTTCCCATGGCCAAATGTCAGACATTCCCAGGTGGGCTTTATATGGAAAGCAAATCATAGGGATTCGCTAGTGAAATCACTATATTTGCTCTGTCTGCTAGCACTGGAGAAGCCTGTTGTCTAGTTCAACAACAACAACAAAAGGAGTGAGGTAAGACAAAAGGGAGGAAGCTTTGCTTAAATTCCTCACACCCAGAGCTTGTCTTGAAGCCGGTTCTCTCCATAAATAGCCTCCACTGTAAATAACAACACGGGCGGTGCTGCTGGGCTGTTGCGATGCATTGGCCTCTCCTGTGCAGCGTTGCAAGGGGCGGACACTGGTGGTCCAAAACTTGCTCTGCGTCTGGCGATCCTGAGGTGGAGGATGGGGGAACTTCTCCATTTTCTCACTGCTTCCTTTAAGGGTATTCCAGCATGAAACACCCAACACAGTTGAAACGGATCTCCAGCCATGCTTTAAAACGATGAAAAGCGATAGGGGCACTCATTCCACAGGACCAGTGCCTTGCTTTAAAATGATGAAAAGCGATAGGGGCACTCATTCCACCACGTCCCTGATGACGTCTTTGCTTTTGGATCTGATTATTTTATATGGTTTTAATCTATGGGAACAAGCTGGGAGAAACTGAGGCGTCCCTAGGGCTACTGCAATTATTTACATGGGAGTAATTAGTTACGCGTCCAGTAATTAGTTACGCGTCCTACTGAGTATAGATTTCCACCACCTGGAAGTTCCTGCCACAGCAGCGGGATCTTCTTCGCTAACCAGTGCCTGAAGGTCCACTTAGTTTTAGTTAAGATGGATTTCCTTGAAAAAGAATCTAGCCTGAACGAACGGAATCAAGGTGTTCTCTTCAGGCAGTGCCTAACGTTTTATTTTTATTTTTCAAAAGGTGTTTGGAGATTGGTTTCTACCCTGCTTTATGTGTGTGTGTGTGTGTGTGTGTGTGTGTTTTTAAAGTAGCATCTGACAGAAGGCTACTTGTCATGGCTTGCTCAACCCAACCCAACCCAAGCCCAGTCTGAGTTGTGGTAGAATCTCCTGCACGGAGACACTGAGGTTAAATGAGGACCCAACTAGACATTACAGGCATTTCCCCCCCCTCCTTTATATAAAATTCCTGCAGTCTTGATTGTGAGTGATTCTCGCCACCTGTAGTTTACAAATTAGCTTACTCCATTTTTGTGATTAGTTGCCAGAAGATAAGCACGTTCTTTCTTGGGTAGTTTGACTGCTCAGACATGAAAGTCTGCCAGAATCGGATCTCTGGAATACTAATAGGATTTCAGTTTTCATGACAAGTGATCGCTCATGTAGAGTCTGACCCTGTCCTTCGGTAGAAATCTGGTGATAGAAGGGAATAGTTCAGAATATTCCTCAGTTACAGAGGGCAGGTCGATGTGGTAGGACTCTTCCCGTTTGCTAGTGGCACCAGCTAATAACACGACACCCTGTTGGGATTTGATTTTGCCTTAATTTTTGTTATCCCTAGATTAAAATAGAAGAAGGGTCAAGATGTTTGTGTTGAGTTGGCTGTTTTGTTAGCAGGACGCCGGGGTGTGTGTGGTGGATTTGCTTCTAAACAGCTGCCTGAATGGAGGCCGTGTGGCCCTGTTGGCCTCGCAGGAAGGAGAAGGTGAGAAGAAGACCAGTTTGTACATGTTGGCTTCCTGTTTTAGGAGGAACTGGGAGACTGGTTGGCTTCTTAGTTATCCTCTAGTGCCAGTGTTTTCCCCATTGACCTAAATACAGAATGAGGGGCTGCTTTCTTCGACTTAAAAATGGCTCCTTTTTCCCCTCTCAAAGGTGGTTTAAGAATTTGGCAGCCTGTCCGTTCCCGCGAGGACATCTGTCTACACACATGGGCTGCCCGTGGGGATGCCAGGCTAGCAAAATTTCTGCCAAGAAAAAAGAAAAGCGGTGTGCTCCATGTGCACCTTCCCAAAATAAAAGGGGGCAATACCTTTATTTAGCAGCTGGCCAAAGAGCACTTTCTTGCGGAGGAGGGACACCTGCTTTCGGGGGCTAGAACTCAGACGTCCCAAATCCAATCTTGGCCAAACGTGGTGAGGATGAGGAGGAAAGTCTGCTGAAGACTTACAGGGAGTTTGGCATCTCTAATTCATGCCGGGGCTGTTCTACCACTCCCGGAAGCCCTGATTCGCTTGAACCACAAACCATACGAATCGCTAACGCCGCTAACAGGATAGCAAGTCAATGTTCATCATGAATCCGTCGTCTTCTTTCACTCTGACTTTGAATACTTTATGAAGATGCTTGTGTTATCATCAGGGGACCCCTCATGTGAACTGCCCAGCCTGCCCTTGTGTGGGGTCGGGCTCCTCCGAGGCAGTGAAGAGCCGACGGACGAGGAGGTGAAACAGAGACGTGAGCGAAGGCGGCCCAGGCTGGCAGGCCCTGTGGTTTACAAGAGACACACGGCGGCAGGCATAGCAGCATCCATCGAGTGTTTTGGCAACACAGAGTTGTGTTTAAGGTCGAGGGAAAGTGACAGAGTTTTGTATACAGTTGCTTCCTGGACAGCTCGGTCCGCCGGTGGGCATTTTTGCAGTTGGATAGCGTGATAAATGGAGGCGATCCATGGCTTTGATCCATGTGGTGCCCATGGTTGTTGATGGCGTGTGTGCCTTTGAAGGTAGAATATTTCTGCAGCGGCCATAAGGCAGGGGTTCGTTAATCATTTTTAAATTTAATTATCATGCTTGTATCTTAAGAATAATGTGCCGTCAAGTCGATTCTGACTTCTAGCAAAATTGTCCAGGGTTTTCTAGGGAGGACCTACACAGACGTGGTTTCCCATTTTCCCTTCCTCTAGGGGGAGCCCTGCTAGCAAAACTGTCCAGGGTTTTCTAGGGAGGATCTGCACAGACGTGGTTTCCCATCTGCCCTTCCTCTAGGGGGGAGCCCTGGGACCACCATGCAGCTTGCCCAAGGCTACCCAGGCTGGCTCTTCTCCGAGGGAGGCACCCCGTGGGGAATTGAACTGCCTCCCTCAGAGACCTAAAACTGAGCTATCCAGCCAGCTACGCGATGACTTTTCTCCCCTCCTGTGCCTGCTTGGTTTGGAATAGGTCAGTGGAAGATAAACAGGGGGCTTAATTTGCAAGGCTTATTACAGAGACATAGGTGGGAAAGAAAGCATGTTAAAAAGAGGACACCCCTTGACATGGAGTTGGGACCCTCTCTTTGCTGGGCCTGAGAAGTCGGGGCAGTGTTGTGGCCTGTAGAAGCTGGTCAGCCAATGAACCTGGGTAGCTCTGTGTCGCTTTTTGGGCCAAAGTGGTGCTTCATCTGGTCCTTCGGGAGGCCCTGTTGCGTGGATGCTGGTTTTAGGGGCATGTGTGTGTTTCAAATGGAGTTGCTGTGCTCTGTTGCTTTTAAGTAGGTTTTTCATATTTGTTTTATTTACTGTTTTATTTAC